ACATATACAATGACTCCAAAATGGCAGTTACTGTGTGTGATAGTATGATGTATTTTTGCAGCACTCCAACAGCATTCTTTAAAAATCTAAATAAATTGCACGTTCATTGCTTCTGTCATTATTGTGAGACCTGTGGTTGGGAAAGTTACCCAGGTACCTATTTAGTATAGTCTGCATTTGAGTAGGGATAGTAAAATAACTTTTTTTGAATAGATAAAGGTTAAGCTTTGTCCTGTTCAGTCATTTCAGACTTTAGGACAGTGTTGGCAAACCTTTTCAGCAATGGGAATGCTGGAAACTGGAAGAGCAGCTCCCCAACACACTTGATCTTCCGGTTTCTGGCATGCGTGCGTGGACCAGCTGGCCAGCGTGCATGTGCGCACAGTAGAGCTGTTCTGGATTCTGCCGCTCCCATGCATATGAAGACTAGCTGGCCAGCGCACATCTGTGCGCCAGAACCCAGAAGAGCAATGGGCGATGGCTGGCATGCCCGGAGAGATGGCTCTGCGTGCAACTTCCGGCACACATGCCATAGGTTCACCATCATAGGTCTAGGGGGTGGTGCTCATCTCCATTTCTTAGTCAAGTGAGCCAGCATTGTCTGAATACATTTCCTTGGTCATTTGACCAGCATGACTATATGCCAAGGCACACAGAACACTGTTACCTAATTAAAACCCTGTTGCATAATTATTTGTCACTATTTGCATCTACTATCCTTTTAAACACATATCAAGATATTCATCTTCATACCTTCAATTGTAAAATAAATTTAAAAAAATACCATGATTAGCTTTTTTACAAGATTAATCTATCCCTATCCATTAAAATGACTTTTTAACAGATAGACGTATTTGTGTAGGCACATTTGTATTTGAGGCCATATTGCACAATAACTTAAATGTACTTCTGGCAAGCCAACTTTGTTTCAAAATTATAGAATTCCAGTTTTTTTAAAAAAAGAAAAGTATATAAATGTATATATCTGTGCATTACAAATCTATACTGTATTTTATCAGAATCTATACAGAGGAACAGTTGATATCTTTGAGCATGCAATATTTTAAAGTATGGTGTCACTTACATAGTATTTCTCCCAGTGTGTTTGCTAAGTAGGAAAAACATCCTTTCTTAAAATGAATTTAAGCATAACAAATCTAACAAAATATATTTTATACATCTATAGGTTCTTAAACATAAACTACTGAAAAATAAACAACTGAAAACTTTTATATTGGTAATGAGGTAACAGAAATATTTGGTTTAATTGCCTTTTTGGAAAAGGTATTTCAAATAGTTTACCCAATGAAGTATTAATATTTAGATGTAATGAAATTATAGAACTTTAAGACATCATTTGAGTATTTTTAAAATATAATTGCATTTAAATTTGTTTAAATTTGAATGTCTTCAGTTTATTACGGCTGGTTTTGAAGTTGTACATAACTAGATTATGAACTGTTTCTAATATTTCATATTATGATGATTTCCTTAAAACTAATCTTTAGCTATTTGATTTTGCTATGCTCCACCGAATAGGATTAATTAATCAAAATAGGAAAAGTTAAGATACAGGTAGTCCTCAACTTATGACCAGGTGTTTATTGACCATTCAAAATTATGACCTGCTTTCAAAGTTATGATGGCTACACCCCCCCACAATGGTCACAGGATCGCATTTTGGATGCTTGATAATTTATTGGAATGACTTACAACTGCAAATCTGGAGTCAATTATGTTCATAAGTCAAAGACTATCTGTAAATTCTTACTTCCTACAATAAAATAAATAGCCACACATTCATTGAATATACAATAATATGGAATACCCCAAAATTGTAAATATTTTCAAAAGTTTAAATGTGACAAAAAATAGCACTAATAACTCAGGCCAACTTTCCTAATCTACCTTCAGATGTTTTGGCTACATCTTCCATAAACTTCTGGTTAAGAATAATGGCAGTTATAGTTCTAACATATTTGTTGGACACACAATTAAGGAATGTTACTGATGGATTATATCAGTGGTGGTATTCAGCCAGTTCGCACTGATTCCGGTGAACTGGCAGCAAGGATTTGGCATGGGTCACTAAACCAGTAGTAAGTTCTGGCTGACCACGGCCCCAACCCGATCACCCAATCGCCACTGGCTCGCTTGCCCCGCCCACCCAATGCTCGCTCACCCTGCCCGTCTGGCGCTCACCCCCTAAGGTATTTCTTCCCCCCTCCCAACAATCAGCTGTTCATACGATCAGCTGTGCCAGGATTTCTCTTCCTGAGCCCCAGGGAAGCCTTCTGGGAGCAAAAACGCCTCCCTAGAGGCTCCTCTGAGGCCAGGAAGCCTCCAAAATGGAGTGAGGGGGGTGCTGTGTCCCCCTCCTATGGTCCTTTTTTTTCTTCCTGAGCCCCAGGGGAGCCTTCTGGGAACAAAAACGCCCCCCCCCCCGAGGCTCTTCTGAGGCCAGGAAGGCCCAAAACAAAGCGAGGGGGGATGCTGTGTACCCCTCCTATGGTCCTTTTCTTTTTCCTGAGTCCAGGGGAGCCTTCTGGGAGCAAAAACGACCCACTCCAGGAGGCTTGCCTGAGGCCCAGAAGGCCCAGAAAACAGGTGGGGGAGGGTAGCTGCAAAAAGAAAGAAAGCCACGCCTACCCAATCACTTGGCCATGCCAACCAAGTTACTCCCACAGAACTGGTAGTAAAATTTTTTTGAATCCCACCACTGGATTATATGCATTTTTAACTAATGTATCCTTGGATGAAATATTATATACTATGTCAGCAAGATCAACTTTTACTGTATTTCTCATAACTATCTTTTCCACCTTCTTGCTTTTCTTATTAGGTTCTTCCTGCAACCTAAGAAAATTTTGCCTAGTGGATTCATCTAATTCAATTTTTCCAAAACTGGGTCCTTCCAGGTGTCCTGTGCACATTTTTCATCAGTCCCACAGAGCAGCAGTCCCCAACATTTCTGGCTTTACTGACTGGTGGTGGAGTTCCATGCATGCAGTATGCAAAAGTGCACAGTTCCATTTGTGCAAGCAGTGGGCATGCATGCTACTTGTGCAAGTGGAATGGCTTGCCTGCCATTTCTGCAGCCCTGTTTCGCAACCTGAGGGTTGGGGACCCCTGCCATACAGCATATGAATTTTGTTAGTCAAATGAGATGATGGGAGCTGTACTCCAATATTTTAGGAGAGGGTAATCTACACAAAGAAAATATTTGTAGAACTAAGATTTGTTCATACAAGTAAGACTGAACAAATCATTTTTGATGGATTATAATATCTGCTTTAGCCTGCAGACACAATACACTTTACATTTATATCCACTTTTACTGTTATTATACATGCAAACAGATATGTTTCTTCCAAGCCACTTGGCAGTAGACATTGAAACTTGTCTTGTGTACAGCCCTGTACTCCTTTTTTTAATATCACTGTTTGTATATGTGCACTTGTAGGTGTACATATGCACACTGTGTACCATAAGTCAGGGTCCATAAATTAATCACAGTATTTTTTGTATTAATTTTTTCCAGAAAAATATTGTACTTAGGAATATCCAAAGATCATCAAGTAAGCAAGGAAGTATTCAGAAGAAAGTGGCAACCAATTGGAACATTTAATATAATTTATATAATAAATTATGGGGATCTGATGTGTGTTCTTTTTATGATGGAATCTGTATCCTAAAAATAAATCCCACTTAAATGCACCTCTTTCTGAGGACAAACCTTTATTCCTTAACATTTTCAGTATTCAAGCAAATTATTTAATTAAAATGAATATATATGAATGTCTTTAAACAAATTTGCTACTTTAAATAGGTTATGACTAAAATGTAATATCACATTTCCAAGAAAATTATTTGCATTTTCCATTTTTCTTTTGCTATTTCATGGAGAATCTGGTTTGTTGGTCAAAATAATTTTAGTTAGCACTTGTTAGCATTTTGCAATAATTGATCACATTAAATATTCAGCTTTTTCACTGGATGCATTCATTATTTTGATTTGTTTCATTGTTCCCCAATGTAACCTCTGGTTCTTTAATCAATCTGAATCAATATTATTATTAATCAATAATATTAAATTTTATTTTTTAATATTAAAAACACTGTCATATCATTGCATCTTTTCAGCAAATCCTTTTATGAAACAATCAGAATTAATTTTCCAGATTTTTTTTAAAAAATATTTCAATTATCTTGCCCAGATGTATTATTATTTCAGCTTGTTTTTAATTATTCCATGACCTAATTATCATGAATAGTTTTGCTTTATTTTAGACATTTATGTAATATTTAATGAATTGATGTAATGAATATGAAATAGTAACAACACAGTAGGTGGATAGAACTACTCCTTTGTTCCGTTATCTTTGTTGTAAAATTGGTGTGTGTGATCTAACAGCACAGGCAGAAACAATTTCCCAGAAAGCAATAACATTCAGCCATGAGCAGGCAGTTAATTTTAAGACTGAGAAGAAAGCAAGTAATTCATTACCTCACATGAAGAAGATTGAGTGCGATAACTTGGCACAATCTTGAAGGTGATGCTGCCTCTCATTTCTCTCTGGAGAAAGTAAAAGTATAAAAAAGTATAAAAAATAAACGGTGCACCCAAAACCATCTAATATTTTAATAAAATAATAACGCCTATGGTTTTTATTTCTAAAATTAGTCACCAAATTTCAAAAGGGACCCAAATATACTAAAAAAAAAATTCTCTTTGCACAAAGCTGAAGTGTTTATAAGTATTTATAATAAGGTTAGTATTTTAGAGCATATCATATTTGGTAGTAGCAAGCTGTTTTTTTTTTTTTTTTGCAGTTTTATCATGTTCCCTCTAATTTGTACATACTTCAGCAACAAAGACATTGAGCCATTTTTAAATGTAGTTGTTAACTACACGACACTTATTAAACATACTATACATAAGTTACTGGTAAAGTACAAGCTTGCCAATAAAATGGCATAAACTAAAATGTCCAACAAATTACCTTTTTAAAACAGAAACAAAACTACTGAAGACGATTTTTTTAAAATTCACATAACAATTAAAACAAAATTTACTGAAAGCAATCAACTATTCCTTTTGTGAAAAAAGTCAAATCAACCTGGATTCCAAGAATGGGATTATTTTATGGACAAATACATGCATGTAGGAAAAAGATAACAGGGAAAATTAAATCAGACAAAAATGAAAGTTGCTTAAAAGAATAGAATTCTTTATTGGCCAAGTGTAATTGGACACACAAGGAATTTGTCTTGGTGCAAATGCTTTCAGTGTACATAAAAGAAAAGATACATTCATCAAGAATCATCAGGTACAACACTTAATAATAGCCATAGGGTACAATAAGCAATCAAATTATACTAGGAAACAGTCAATATAAATCGTAAGGATACAAGCGACAAAGTTACGGTCATACAGTCACAAGTGGGAGGGGATGGGCGATAAGAAGTGATGAGAAGATTAATAGTAATAGTAGTGCAGACTTTGTAAATAGTTGGACAATGTTGAGGGAATTATTTTGTCTAGCAGAGTGATGGTATACGGGGAAAAACTGTCCTGGTGTCTAGTTGTTCTGGTATGCAGTGCTCTAGAGCATCGTTTTGAGGGAAGGAGTTGAACCAGTTTATGTCCGGGATGTGAGGGGTCTATAAATATTTTCACAGCCCTCTTTTTGATTCGTGCAGTATACAGGCCCTCGATTGAAGGCAGGTTGGTAGCTAATTGCTTTTTCTGCAGTCCTAATTACTCTCTGGAGTCTGTGTCTGTCTTGTTGGGTTGCAGAACCAAAACAGACAGTTATAGAGGTGCAGATGATAGACTCAATAATTCCTCTGTAGAACTGTATCAGTAGCTCCTTGGGCAGCTTGAGCTTTGTGAGTTGGCGCAGAAAGAACATTCTTTGTTGTGCTTTTTTGATTATGTTTTTGATGTTAGGTGTCCATTTCAGGTCTTGTGATATGATAGAACCTAAAAATCTGAAGGTCTCTACTGTTGATACTGTGTTGTCTAGTATTGTAAGAGGTGGTGGTATGGGAAGGTTTCTCCTAAAGTCTACCACCATTTCCATGTTTTTGAATGTGTTCAGTTCCAGATTGTTTTGGTTACACCACGAGGCAAGTTGTACAACCTCCTGCCTGGATGCGGATTCGTCATTGTCTCGAATGAGACCAATCACTGTTGTATCATCTGCAAACTTTAGTATTTTAATAGATGGATTGTTTGAGATGCAGTCATTGGTGCGAGAAGTGAGAGTGGAGAAAGCACACAGCCTTCAGAATGTTCTGAAAATACTCTTCTTCTTGTCCTTAGTATTACAATGTGAAGATGTTCTAGAATATTATAAATGAAAATAGAACTCCTGTTTTCAACAAAATGTGAAGACTAATCTATGTAAAAAATAAACCCAATAAATATTAACCCAGATTCTACAATTGTTGAAATTGTAATTTAATTAAATAGTAAAGTGTTATTACTAAATATCTGTCAAACTTTATTCCTTAGTTAATGAACACTGACTGACTGTACTGACACAGCCAATTATTATTTTATTCCCCTTTTCAAAACATTATTTGGAGTTCATGCCAATTTAAAACAAGACAGAGGACCTGGTTCCTGGTTTATTAAAAAAAAGATATACAAAGGAAGAAAAGTTAGACGAAAGAGAGAAAAGAAGCATTACTTTTCCAGAATATTTCTTTCCATAGGCTTACATTTAGTTAAATTTGGACTAATGTTCTGTTGGTATTGCTTTTGTGACTTTTTGGCTGCTGATGGAATAAGAATGCTAAACATTAACTCCTTTGGGGAAAAATCTGGGCATATTGTTCATAGCCAAACACAGTAATGGGTTCAAAGGAAATATTAAGACTGTTTTTACCAAAACTGTTTTTACCTGGAAAGGTTAATGTTGATCCTGCTGGTGAGAACATGGGGCTACCCTTGAAAAGTATCCAGAAGCTTTAGCTGGTATAGAACGCAGGAATGCAGGCAGTTATGTGTACTTGAGCAGTACCTTATACCTCTGCTTTGTGAGCTGTACTGGTTGTCACTCTCCCCAGTTATTTTAGCCTACCCATTAACTCAGGAAGAGAAGTCATGCTGTGGGTACCAAAAGCTACAGATCAGGTAGGTCTCAAGAGACAAGATTTCTTTGCCATGATGATCACTTTATGGAACATTTCCTCCCTGACCAGTGGTGGGATTCAGCCAGTTCACAAGACTTTGGGAGAACCGGTTGTTAACTTTCTGAGCAGTTTGGTTAACTGGTTGTTGGAAGAAATCATTAGGGCAGAGAACCGGTTGTTAAATTATTTGAATCTCATCACTGCCCCCACTCCCAAATTGATTAGCTTCACCCAATTAACGTTATGGAAGGCTCTCAAGACCAGGCTATGACATCAGGTCTGGCATTTCCAGAGAACCAGAGATATGCTCAGATAGCTCTATTGATGAGGTGCCACGTTTATCTTCTCTTTGTCTAGGAGTTTATATATTTGCTTTTATGTTATTTATTTCTTAATGTAGGTTTTTACATTTTTAAATATATGTCATTTTTATATTTGTGGTTTTTATCCAATTGTGTGATTTTGGTTAGAACAGTAGTAATACAAATTTGATAAATAAATCAGCCAAAATGGGACTATGGGACAAAACTATGAACTAGTGACAGGTTACTGTTAATGAGTCATATATCTCCAGAATCCCGGTTTATCTTTTAATATACCTAATACTGCCATTATCAAGTTAATGTTGCTGATATTATTTTTCTTTTTTTTTAATATAAATTTTATTGAATTTACAATTAAAAAATAACATAACAACATTACATATGCAACAGAGAGAGAAAAAGAAGAAAGAAAGAAGGGAAAGAGAGAGGAAAAAAAAACAAACGCTCGGTCTTGCGACCGAAAAAGGAGAAAAAGAAGTATAAAAGAAAGAAAAAAAACAAAGAGACAGAAGAAAAAAGAAAATACGTTAAAACCAGACAGATATTCTTTTTGACAGTCTGCAAGATCCAATTCTCCTACCTTACTTTAAATATACACATCTTATCACTATTTATGCTTAAATTACCCATTATTCATTGAACAGTTTATCTCTGATATAACCAATTATACCACACATTCCAATTATTATCTGATATTATTTTTCAGAGGCATAAAATGAAGTATTTTTAAAAAGTTGTATCATAGGAGTTCTTATTTTTTAACTCAAACATGAGTATGATACAAACCATCTTCATACATGATCCATCTTATTCTATTTGAAGAGTTAAATAAAACAGAAAAGAAGAGGACCGAAGCTATAGAATGTCTTATTATTTGAGAAAGGTTTGCAAAAAAAAAAAAAAAAGCAATCTGAAAAAACCAAGATCTAAGCATTGTTATCAATGCTAGAGGGTATACATAGCTGTATGTTGAGTAATATTTTGAATTGTAGTATTTCAGAGGTTAAATAATCTTTAATTCATATGAAAAGTAAAATGAATCAGATAAAAACTTTTTACATACTTACAAGCATTTTCTGAAGTTGTTCCACTGTTTGATTTGCCACACTAATTCCATTTATTTCTCGAATTTCATCTCCTACATGAAGTGTACCTACAGAAGCAAGAACACAAAACGGCACAATTACAAACTATTCTATTATTATACCACATACCACTATATGCATAATTAAATATTGTAAACAATTAGAATTTCCTCAAACTATGTGGATACGAAATCTTGCAAACTTAAAAAAATTACTAGAAGTATAGCTACATAATCATGAACATGTTCTGCTACATTCAATAGGAATACTCCTACGTAATTTTGAATAAAATTGTAGCTCTAATAAAAGGAATCCACAGCAAATAGAGATGAGAACAGGTCTCTATTAATAAATCTCTTATTTATTTATAAGTTTATCATCTTTTATAGACAAATACTATTTTCCAAAATGGCCCACATCTATAATATTACAAAGACACTTTCAGCCATTGTATGTATGTGCATGTATTTGTATAATATTGTCAGCCTTCAAGATCTTCTTCCTTTGCTTTGCTTCTTTCTGGCTGTCATGAGTAACTGGGGGTGGAAGGGGGAAAAGTATGGGAAGAGAGCTGGAGGTGTTACTAACTAATATTGTATAAACTGAGGAGGGTTTCTATTTCTTGCTTAGCTTTCTCTTCTCTGCGCAACTGCAAACCTTTATCTGAGTAAGCCAAGGTCAACTAATCATCACCACCTGAAGATGTCCACATGATGAGGTTCACAACTTTTAATTGGAAGAACCGTTTGAACTATTGGGGGTGGGAACATTTCAATCCCTTGATATATGTGATGTACGTGCCTATTCCTCAGATTCAGAATTCTCTTGTTGCTACTACTTGACTTCCAGTAAAAAATATCTTTTCTCTAATTACAAGAGTCTAAGTATTTCTTTCTTGGATTTTGAACGGAGCACCAGCTGACAAATATCTTGATACTATCAGAAAAAAGTGGTAACATTTAAGACGCTTTTATTTCTTGTAAACTTTGACCAACAGCTTTTGTTAGTAATTACTGATATTAAGCAGGTATTAGGAAAAAGGCAAGACTTCCGGTTGATGTCACGACAGGACCAGAAACAACGAAAGGAGGTCTGCATTCCTGCACTGGCTTCTCGCCATTTGTGGGCTCTGAACGGAGCTAATAGCTACCTTGTAGGGGTGGAGAAGCAAAGGAGAAGTGCCTGGTGAGGTTCTGGGGGAGAACGCAACTCCCCCGTGGAAACCCAGAGCTTGCTCTCTATGCCACAATGGAGAGAAGAGCGATTAAGATGGCTGCTACAGAGTTGGGACAGCCAAGGAAAATCTAAGCACAGTGCTGGAGTGGAGACAGGGAATGGTGTTCGGAGAAGAGTGGGAAGAATTCATTTTATTTTTGCCTATCCCTAAAAGACTATAACAGAGAAGATTAAAGAACTGAGTTAGCAGCAATTTGGAAGAGGGAAGAAGAAATGGGAAATGGAAAGAGCTTAAACTTTTAAAATCTTAAAAGCAATAAATTTGGAAGAACACTAATTCGGAATTGGCTATCAGACAGGATTTGGCATTGGAAGGCATTTACTTTGAATGCAGAAAATAATTGTTTTAAAAGAGAAGTATTTGATTTTCTAAAATGAAATTTGTGAAGCTAATTTAAAGAAACGGAAAAAGAGTGGTAGTGAAACTGGATTAGCGCCACTTGCTGATGAAAGAAAAATCCTGCACATCCCCTCAAACTAATGATTTAATCAAAAGAAATTAAAAAGGATAAAACAAAGGCACTACAGTAAGACCCCAGAAAGCTGAAATATATTATAATTAAAGAGCAAGGAATGTAAGAAGATATTACCCTTGGAATTATTGGTGATTTTGATTGATTACTTGGAAAGAAAGATTTGAGAATATTGATATTAAAAAAGAGACACTTGTTCAAATAAAATAAAATTTACTGGATACCGGCCAATTGAAATAATAAGCAATATAAAGATGAATGACTTATGTAAAGAGATAAAGATCGACCTTCAAGCCATGAATGAGACGTGGGACAAAATGTTGGATTTATGTAAAAAATACAGAAAAAAATTGGAAATGGCGAGTGATGATAGTAGAAGAAGAAGAAGAAGAAAGAACAAAGAAGAGGAATGAGCCAGAAGAAAGAGAAACCAGTGAAATGGAACAAAAAGAACAACCAATAATGTAAAAGAAGAAAAAAGAAATTGAATTTGAGATGTTTATGATAGATGTAATAAATAAGGGAGGGAATACTGAGATTGGATGCTTATAAATGAAATGGCTAGGAAATTACAGAAAGGAGATCAGAAGTGGGTGGAGATAAACTTTGAGAAATGGGAGAAAAAGTATCAGAAACTGATTAAGAATAGAGGAAGGATTAATGGGAAAAGCCAAAAGATGATAGAAAATGGTAAGCAAGCAAAGAAACGACAAATTAATATAAAAGAGAGACTTAGAGACAATGGTTAGAAATGGAAAAGAAGGGGACTCCACATGAAGAGGTATTTTACCGATAAAAATATATATATAAAATAGATTTTGAGGAGTTTGGACTAAGAACTAGGATAAAAATAATTAAAATTGAACAGACATGAAAATAACAATTTATAATAGATTAACCAAGGAAGACAGATAAAAGTGATTAATATTTAAGATATGAAAAGGAATACTATGTGGAGTCTGACAGAGAGTACAATAATCATATAGTAGGTTAATATTTTAATGAATTAGATATTTTGTTATTTACATATATAGGGTAGCGAGGTTATAATGTTATAATGTTGATACTATTGGCTACAAGAAAATATATTTGTGTAGAAATGAGATGTTAGAGAGAAGGGAATACACAGAAAATAAAATATATTCAATAGTGGCAAATGTAATGTTGGATGCGGGGGGACATAAATAGAGGATAATATAAATTAAGATGAAATCTTGAATGGTCAATGAATGGTATGAATAGATTAAAGTGTAAACATGAAGAGCATAAAAATACATGATTAAGGAAGTTAGAGATTGATTAGAATGCTTTTAATGAATTAAATATTCTGTTATCCACTTATACAAGGTAATGAGGATATATTGCTATATTGTTGGCTAAAGAAATTAAGATGGAAAATATATTTGTTCAAAAATGAGAAGGTAGAGAGAAGGAGATACAAAGAAAATAAAATATATGTAATAATATTGGAAAGGAGATTTAATAGGGAATGATACAAATCAAGATGAAACTTTGAATAATTAATGAAATGATATGAATAGATTAAACTATAACATATTGAATATAAGTATATAATCAAGGAAGATAGAGATTGATTGACTGATATAAAATAATTTATGAGAATATAAAGAAGAAAATTTGATAATGATGTGATGTTAGAAAGCTGTGTCAGTGACTATGGATATGACTGATTTAAAATGTAAAACACCAGGAACCACACTGTTCTCACAAAGATGTATTTAAATAATTAAAACATAAAAAACTTTTTTTTAAAAAGGAAAAAAGGCAAATAAGATGTTATCTAGGCAATAAGTTGTAAAGAATTGGTGACTCATGAACAAGGTATACTGAGAATAAAGCAAGAAAGAAAATACAGACTCTTACAGACATTGTTAACAAATGAAGGGACAGGAAGAAAGATGGGTGGTTTCTTTTCAAAGGAATATTAACTCAGGAATTAACTCATAGTATGACAATATTTTAAGATTTGATTAAGATACATTTATTTCCTCTTTTTAAGAGTAAGAACTGAAAATGTATGGTTAGAAAGGAAGTAAAGCACTAAAAATATAATTAGATATAATTAGGAATACTATATGAAGGAATACTATATGAAATCAATTGTAGCAATTGGAAAACATGGATATTTCTGAAATAAAGAAACTTCAGTATCTTAGGAAAAAATGTGATTATTACTTCAAAATTTAAAAGGTTAAAGAGATAATATCAAGATTATATAGTGGTTGTATCTATTCTGGGAGATGAGTCAACTTTATATAAGCCCTGTGATTTTGAGATTTTTCTGGATCTTGTAAATGAAACAATATATGCTTATGAAGGAATATATTAAAAATAGGACATTATTTGTCAATGAAACTTTTTGGAAAATGAAACAATATTATGATACATGTTACCACGACATAAAAATCTGCTTGGATTATAGAACTGCAAGGCTTTTGACAACTTCTTTATTGGAAATAATGCTCTTTCTTACTGGTGCAGTAGTTCACTTGTTATCTTTTGATAACGAAATATTTTAACCATTATATTTGTAAATTCTTGATTAAAATGTTCATTATATGGGATCATTTCCAGTTCAATGTGAAATAACATAGCTTATAGTATAAAGTAAATAAATGTGTTGTTTTTAATTATGACTCTGAAAACCTTTATAGAATAGAATAGAAAGTGAGAGATTATGGCATAAAGTGGCCATGGTGGTCCCAGTGGTTATCAGCACACTGGCTACCATAAAAAAATTGGTATCCACTTAGTATTTAGAAAATCTATGCATTGACAAAATGTCCCTCTATCAATCACAACAGTTGAAATGCTTGGATCGGCACATATATTATGCTAATACATTATGACATCGTAGGTTCGTTGGAAGAATCTGATGTATTTGAAGGCCAACACCAGCTAAAGAAGTGGCATCTGTGATTTCACATTGTTTTCTGTATATAATAATAATAAATTGTATTTGTCAATGTTAATGCTGCAAATAATTATTATACAGATAGCCACTGAACTTTTTCAATTGTGTAAGCATCAGAAAGCTTGATTGCTTCCGGTAAAATAGGTTCTTCAAAAGCATATCTAAATTAGTTAAGGATATTTCAAATGTATAAAATTGATGTTCAAAATTTCTTATGCTCCTTCTTTTCTGCAAACTTGGTAATCATAAAATAATTACCTAAAGAGTGGATTTTAACAAATACACACTAATAGTGGATAGCATCATTTCCTCTCTAGTATTATATCTTTTTAAAGTTGCTCCATCAAATACTGGAGCAGAATTATTTCAAGTTGCCCAGAATATAGGTTCAGAAGCAAATGAATTTAAATTACAAGGAAGTAGATTTTAATTGAACATTCAAAATTAATGCTTAATGAAAAAGTTGTTCAACTATGGAAGAAACCTCAATTAAGATACATAGCATAAATGATCCCAACAAACCAAACAGATTTTTAAAGGCAAAATATTGTCACATAATATTTTATTTATTTATTTTAATAGGTCTACTCAATGTTCATATTTTCATTCAGTCTTGGTGACTATTATGGAGTTAAGAAAATACTGGCTTTGAGGATACAAGGTTCCTATGTCTACTATCATAATAAACCCATACATTTCTTGGAAAATTAATTATTTGCACCCTTCATGCCAGGTAACTAGTGATCTATATACTTTAGTTAATATTGAGAATCTGTTCCTCTTAGCAAAACATTGTTTGATTTTCTTTGCTTGTTGAACTATTGATACGTAACTTGAGTAATAACAAGACTTGGTGATGCAAAATATTGTATTATAGGCAATATATGATTTTTGACACTAAGTATTCAAATGTCATTTAGAATCCATTTCTGAAAATTAGGATAGTATCATATAAAACTTGTGTTATTCATTAACTTTTATATTTATATTACCTTGTCTGTGAATCATTCCTCCATGCATAATTCTTGCTACAATGCAATGATTCAATTCATTCATTTTTAAAGTGATTCCCTAATAAAAAAAATATAATCACAATAAGATTTTTCAGGCATTGATCCAGTTTAAGCATTTTAACATTTGACCATGGTATCGAAGTACTCAGAGCTGTCTCAATTTACCACCACAATATCTATTAGCATTTTGTTTTAATTCTGCCCAAACAATAAGTGGCCTATGAATTAGAACATACATCTTCTTTTGAAGAATGTTCAGGAGAAATATTTCCATTCTGTTGATGGAGAAAACACTGTTTAGGAGAAGGCTCTATCTGGATACAATACACAGGAGAGTGAGAAAAAAAGTCTTCAAATTTCAAAATTAAGACATTCATACGGTTTGTATATTATTTCAACTTAACTGAATCAACCTTTTTCTGATATAATCAATATTTATTTATATTAAAAGCCTTTTTGGTACAGACTTTTCTCTAGATTTTTAAATGTAATGTTCCTTTCATTTGCCCAAGATAAATTGATACTATTACAAAAGATAAATTGTAAATTTGATATATGATTGGATATATCTTACTCATGCTTATAAAATTAAACAACAACATTTATCTATTTACCATTGGTTCATCTGTATTTTTTTGGAACTGAACCAATCGCACTCTTGTGACATTCTCCATGTCCATGTCTCCATTTATGCTTTCTGGAGAATCTCCATTTAAATATGGAGATGTGGGAGGTGGAGTAACTCTTAATGCTTCATCACTGTAAACTTCATGTGCCACTACATCGTGAGTTTGAAGTAAGGCCTACACAAAGATATAATTTTCATATTTTGTTATCTTTTGTGTTTTTTTTAATGCAAAGAAGCTTAAATTAATTATAAATAGTTGAAAAACTTCAAGCTATTCAACCATAGTTCAACCCAAACAGCATATGCTATGTGACTTTCAGTTTTCCTAATAGTAATAACAACACACTAATATATCAATTATATATATGGCAGGCATTTCCATATACTAATAACGCAATCCTAGTCTACTAAAGAAAAGATACCCCCAAAAGCACAGTATCTTTGAACAAAAAATTGCTGATTCTGGACTTCGGCTGACGTCGCGGTCATATTGGACATCAGGAGTGGGCCTCTGTGCTCCCACACCGAGTTCTTCCTGTTGGTGGACTCCGAAAGGAGCTAAAGCCACCCTGTAGGGGTGGTGAAGAAAAGAGAGGTGCCCTGCAGGTCATGGAGAGCCGCAACTCTCCTGCTGGACCCAGGGCTTCTTCCCTCTCATCCACGACGAGAAGAGGCAGCCATCATGGCTGCCACGAAGCTGGGACAGCTGAGGCAACAAAAAATGTGCAGGAGCAGCGTAGATGAACAGTGATCGGAGCTGGGTGAGAAGATTCCCTTTTATTTAGACTATAACTTTAAAGAAAAAAGAAAGAGGAAAGTCCAGGAAAAGAGACTCTTAGAACTATTTCTCAAGGTGGCAAACAACCATCGAGAGAAAAATCCTAGACCTAAAAGTAAGGAACTAGGGGAGAAAAGCTAAAAATCTTTTAAAACAGAGAAAAATGGATTTTTAAATTGGGCAGGTGTTGTTTTGGAAAGGCATAATAAGATGCTGGAACTATCTACTTGAATAGCCAGCTTTGTTTCCATAAATTGAACAAAACTTGGATTAATCAAATCTATAAGACTTGAAACCTAATGCAAGGCATATATGGGAAAATAGAAAATATGCTACAACTGATAATGGATGAAGATCAAAGAGTCCAGGAAAGAGAGGAGATAGCAGAAAGAACAGAAGAAAAGATAGAACACACAACCCAGCAAACAAAGCAAGAAGATGAGAAAGAGAAGACGATAAAGTCAATAATGATTGATGAAAAAAATCATGGGGAAAGTACTTTAAAAAATTTAAAAATGGAATCAGATAACCTGGAAGATATTTTTGAAAGGGAGATAGGGGCTTGGGTGGATACTCTGGAGACCTGGCAGCTTAGGAGAATAGAGATGGGGGAAATATTCAGTCTGAATGGTGAAGATACAGATGTTGATAGAGGCAAAGGTCCAAGAGAGGAGTCTGGGAGGCAAGCCAAAAATGAATAAGAATTGAAATATTAAAAAAGACCAGGGATGATGGAGAGAAAGGAATTATTATATATTTTTTTCTAATATAATGATGGCCTGATTAGAAATCTGAAGGTAGAAATAAGAACACACACCTTTATAGGAAGCAATAGTTAGATGGAAAGGTTGAAGGTTGAAAGATGGTATTATTAGGTATGTTTAAATAATAGGAAGACTGGTACTTGAATGGCCTATTGTGACTTTGAACAACTAAACAATATGTCTTAATATAAACATGTGTTAGCAATGGTGGATTAGCAATGGTGACCTGATTAATTTGATGGAAAGGATCAGAGGTTGAAAGATGGTATTACCATGTAATGCTTATAGTATCATTAGCATTAAAATGGAAAATTGATATATTGAATAACTACTCTAAAAACCATGTATAGTAATACTAGGATTATATAAGTTTGATTAATAATATAACGACTATTATGATTACCATTATTGCTGTTTGTATCAAAATGAATTATACTCAGAGGCCGCAATGTTCATATATTGATGTATACTAAAATCCAATAAAACTTGGGGGGGTGGGATTGCTGATTCTCTGAAAGTCCTTTATTGTATTGAGCTTTATCGTGTGTTAAAAAGGTCTACATAAAAATGTAAGATAATCCTTTCTTGCAAATGTATTCCTGTCCTATTTTCAGAGCATTCTTTGCTGTTTCTAAAAGGTAACAAAGTTCTGTCTTCATTTATGATTCTTCAGAAATATTTACAATCAAAATTGTGGGCGTAACATAATATGTTGCTCATTTAATAAAATTAGCATAAACAAATTGACATGATTCAGGATCAATATCAAAAGGACCTGTTTTCCTCTCTGTGAAGGAAAAATATGTAAGCTTTATTATTCTAAATCAAAGCTGAGCATATTGATAAAATAAGTTAGACTAGAATAAATCATGTTCCTCTTATTAGACTCACCTTATCAGAAGGTGAGTTCACTGAGTAAGAGTAAGCTATCTTGAAAGGATTGATTAAAAAATATGGGGCAAAATAATATAAGTAAGAATTGACATTGCTATGTAATGGAATACTGTAAGCCTGTGTTATTAAATTGAAATCATTAAAGGATAAACTGTCCCTAAGATATTCTTAACTAAGGTTTTATTTCTAATAAAATTTAGAATCCATAATTGAATTACAGGTTGAGCCATCTAAAATATCTGTGAAAATTCTAAAAAAAGAAGGGCCTGGCTAATGCCAATATTGTTATCTTTTTGGATTTAACACTTTTTTTTCAAACTATATTTTAACATACTGTCCTATTTGATTTACACATCACTTTATTGTTATAGGAAATTGAAGGATGCATATAAATATTTTAAATAATTTTTAAAAAAACTATATTTATAATGCATTTTCTATATCTATAATTAATACATTGCTGTTTCTATCCATCATCCATTCTAATCAATGGGAAATATCCATGTCAAAGATATTAGCTTCCTTAAGCCCAGTTCAGTGTTGAACATTGGGACAGAAATAATTTAAATATGTGAAAATTCAAAATTCATTCATTGAAATTCAATGAAAGGCTGTATTCATTTCTCAGTAATTATACCCCTTCCCCAATTCTTATCACTTTCAGATAATTTCTTTCATGAATCTATTTTCTATGGTAAATATTAAAAAATGATATCGTAACAATTAGTTACCATGAAATGTGGTTGAGTTAAAATACGTTTAAGTTCTTTTGCATCACTATTTTCTTGGTAACATGAAATTTCTTCCAATACCTGTAAAGCATAAGAGTAGATATATGAATAAAGTTAAGTAACAAATAAAATTCATATTTTTGAGTCATGAAATCCAAAGTAAAAGTTTGAAAGAAGAAATTTATTTTCACTTCCCAGATCGGCTTATGCTGCAAGGAAGACTTTAATATGCTAGTAAAGACCAATCTATATCCATAGGAATAAATACAGTGTGTGTGTGTGTGTGTGTGTGTGTGTGTTTTCTTAAGTTTTCGTGGGTAGTTACATGTATGGTATTCAGCTTTGTTCGGGTATTTTCCCACGTCATTATAGTTGTATATATAATCTCAAAAATAGTGCATGCAAATTAAGGCAGTTGCAATTTCATTCGCTGATGATTGCAAAGGAGAGGTGATTATAGGGCAGTAATACACAGTAGATTAAAAAATAATCTATGAGCTGAGGCAAAAAGGGAATAAAGTTTGGAAGGGCAAACTAGCTATAAGAGGAAAAAACTCAGGAAATGACAGAAATGTAAAGGATGGAGGTGGTTGAGAAATCCATTGTCTCTTCACTGTGAGACTATTATTACTTTACAAGAAGTGACAAGAAGTAAGGAAATCAATGTAAGAAACTGAGGTGGGAATGATTTCTTTGGTTCTAAATACCTACTTTGTTAAAAATTATTCATCTGAATCAATATTGATTCCTGGAAACTGTCTACATTAGTCCCTGCGGTTTTCTGGGCAAGCCTATAGTCTCTTTCCTACTGTTGAAAGTGAATATTAACCAGTTGCCAAACATTCAAATTTTGATTATGTGATCATGGGGATGTTGCAATGGTTGTGTGAAAAACAGTGAAGAATTTTTAAAGTGACATAACCAGGGGTGGGATTCTACTGGTTCGGCCCGGTTTGGGTGAACTGGTTGTTACGATTCTGCACAGTTCACCATCTTCCCCCGCCCGCTGTTGCCACCCGGCCTTCCACCGCTGAAGCAATCAATCCCCGGTTGCCTACCTGCAGCCGTCACCAGCCCCAGTTGAGTCCCGACTCCCAGGTCACCCAGCTGCTCTCATCGACGCCGATGCAGCAAGGTTAGCCCCAGAACTCGAGTCCCAGCCGGTTTAGCTGCTTCTGTTTGTTTTTTCTTTCCTTCCAACTCTGATTATCTGTTATTATTATCATATATAGCAACGATCGTTCTTCGCCTAATTTCTACCTCTTATCTCTAACTACTTCTTTTTAAAGAAGCATAATAAAATCAATATTAGTACAGTTGGGTACAATTAATTTTGTGTAATAATAATGACAATAACATTAATAATGATTAAATAATTATTTCTCCATTTTAGTGAACTTTCCTTAGATAATTGGTCTTTTCTTTTATACTTTTAGATTTCTAACTTTTGTTTCTGTGAGCCATTGATAAAACAAATCCCACGTTAAGAAATATTCAAAACCTTAACAGATAACAGATAATCAGAGTTGGAAGGGACCTTATAGGTCATCTATTCCAACCCCCTGCCCAAGCGGGAGACCCTACACCATTTCTGACAAATTGCAGTCCAATCTCTTCTTGAAAGTGTGAAATGATGGTGCTCCCACAACTTCCAAGGGCAAGTTGTTCCATTGGTTGATTGTGCTCACTGTCAGAAAGTTTCTCCTATTTCCAGGTTAAATCTCTCCTTGTTCAGTTTCCATCCATTATTCCTTATCTGGCCTACAGACGCTTTACAAAATAGCTTGACCGCTTCCTCTCTGTGGCAGCCCCTCAAATATTGGAAGACTGCTATAATGTCTCCCCTGGTCCTTCTCTTCACTAGACTAGCCATGCCCAGTTCCTGTAACCATTCTTCCTATGTTTTAGTTTCCAGTGCCCTCATCATCCCGGTTGCTCTTCTCTGTACTTTTTCTAGAGTTTCAACATCTTTTTTATAATGTGGTGACCAAAACTGGATGCGGTACTCTAGGTGTGGTCTTACTAAGGCTTTATAGAGTGGTATTAGTATCTCACTTGATCTTGATTGAATCCCTCTGTTAGTGCAACTTAGGATTGCATTATCTTTTTTGGCTGCTGCTGCACACTGTTAGCTCATATTTAGCTGGTTATCCACTAAGACTCCAAGATCCCTCTCACAGTTATTGCTATTGAGCCTGGTTTCACCCAGTCTATATGTGTACTTTTGGTTTTTCTCGTCTAAGTGTAGGACTTTACTTTTCTCTACATTGAATTTCATTTTGTTAGATATGGCCCAATGTTCTAGTCTGTCAAGATCCATCTGGATCTTGAGCCTATCTTTTTGGGCGTTAGCTATTCCTACCAGCTTAGTATCATCTGCAAATTTGGTAAGTCCCCCTTCTATTCCCTCATCCAAGTTGTTAATGAACATATTGAAGAGTACTGGGCTTAAGATGGAACCTTAAGATGGGCTTAAGATGGAACCTTGTGGCACCCCACTGCTTACTTCCCTCCATGTAGACTTAGACCCATTAAGGACTACTTGTTGAGTACAGTTTGTCAGCCAGGTGTGAGTCCATCTAGTAGGGGTGCTATCTATTCCACTTTTTTCTAGCTTACTAAGAAGTAGGTTGTGGTCTACTTTGTCAAATGCCTTGCTGAAATCTAAATATATTATGTCCACAGTATTTCGTTGGTCTACTAATTTAATGGCTCTTTTCCAGTCCTCTGGTAGTTCCCCAGTGCTCCAGGATTTTTGAAAGATATGGTGCAGTGGTTCTGAAACGACCTTTGCCAGCTCCTTTAAAACTGGGATGTAATCCATCAGGCCCCGGTGATTTGTGTTCATCAAGATTAGACAGGTGTTCTTTTACTTTTTTTTTTTGCTTATTTTAACTTTTATTTCTGGTCTATCTTTTACAGTTATGTTTTTGGTGGGTTGAGCTATAGTTTCTTTTTGTGTAAAAACTGATGCAAAGAATGAGTTAAGCAGTTCTGCTTCCTCTGTGTTGTCTGTTACTTCCTTGCCCTCTTCTCTCTTTAGTGGACCAAGTGTTTCCTTGATTTTTTTCTTGTTATTTATATGTTGGAAGAAACTTTTTTTATTATCTTTGACTTTTGTTGCAAGTCTTTGTTTGTTCTGAGCCTTTGCTTTCCTGACTTCATCTTTGCAAATTCTGGCTATCTGCTGATATTCTGCCTTAGTTGTATGTCCATCTTTCCATTTTTTGTACTTGTCCTTTTTTTCTTTCAATTTGTCAGAGAGATCTTTGTGCAGCCATGCTGGTTTCTTCTTGGATTTCTTGTTTTTCTTTCTCAGTGGAATTGTGCTGGTCTGGGCTTCTATGATTTTATTTTTCAGAGTTTCCCAAGATTCTTGAGTTGTTTTCCCTTTTGAGATTTTCATCCATGGAATCTTTCCCAAGTTCTCTCTGAGTTTATTAAAATCAGCTCTTCTAAAATCCAATATTCTGGTGTCATTATGTTCTATTGCTAGTGTTTGTGTTATGTTGAATTCTAGCATGATACGGTCACCCTCACCCAAGGTTCCTGCAGTTTCAACTCCCTCTATCACTTCTTCTCTGTTTGTAAGAATTAAGTCCAGTATGGCTATCCCTCTAGTTCCATCCTCTTTTGGACAGCAAAGTTGTCAGATAGGTTGGTTAGGAACTTCACCTTAATTTTAAGTGTTCTAATCTATCCATTTCTGCACACTGTAATATTTTTTAAATCACAGTTTCATAGGGATCTGTTTGTTTTTCCATTGTTATGCAAACATAATTCTAGTCACTGTTAACACGCATAAAATTAAATATGTATTATATTCCCTTTATTTATGTGGGTACCTACAAAGATATTTCTGGTTTTAAATCTATATGTTGCTTTACCATGTTTTCTAACCATAGCACTACTAACTCTTGAATAGCTACTTGAGTACAAGCTGAGCCCACTACTGAACCTAATTCATATATTCCTGTTTTTTAAACGGAGAAATAAATTTCAGAAAAAGAATCCAGTATTGCTGTGAATGTGCCTATGAATTTCATTCTTAATCTAACCTTTTAGATGATTTTGTGCTATATCATTTTTTTTGTACTATATGTATCTGCATAAGGCTGTAAAAAGCTTCAGTACATTTTTAAGATGAAAAGTCTAAAAAGCTTAGGTGACTAAGCATGGCTTCCCCTGGCTCCTCTTTCTCTGCTATAGAGAGAGCATTCTATTAGGGACTGTTGGTGCTGTTAAGACCTGGGCTAATGTAAAGTAGTCTTGGCTAGGAAAGATTTTTATGCCAATACTGGCACAAAATAACAAACTTCCTTGGTTTGTTAATTGTATTTCCATTTTAAGTGTTTATTTTTCAATTAATTGTAATTATGAAAATATCAGGCATTCTTTTATATACACAGCGTAACTTCTTTTTTATAGACTATCATTTTCAAATCCACTTTCAGCTCAGTCTCAGTCTTGTCTGGTGAAACTTGTTCCTCTTTCATAACATCTTTTAAACACTAACTTAACTATAGTGTCAGACATTCTTAAAAGTAATCCTTAAAAGTATTACTGCTCTCCACTCCTTGCTCGCTTTCTTCGCTTGCCAGTCTTCACCACAATTTGCTACAACAGTCGAGTCCAAACCACAACATTGTTGTATTTTTTTGCAGTAGCTTACCAGGATGAAAAGGCAACTGAGTTTGGCTGCTTTCCTCAGTAAGAAAACAAAACCGGAAACAGATCCCAAAGAATCACAAACACAACCATTCCAACCTGGGGAAAGCAGCACATCAACTACACTCCAACCTGGGGAAAACAGCACATCAGCTACACTCCAACCTGGAGAAAGCAGCACATCAACTACTGAAAGAACTGAGTTGGACATTGAAACCAATCTTCCTGACTGCTGGATATTGCAGCAGTATACCAACTTTAAGGAGAAATATGATGGACTGGAAGTTTTTAAAAAATAGGTTGCAAGTATTGCAAAAAAAAAATTGAGATTACAACAAAAGAAAAAAAGTGTTCACATAGCAAAGGAATGGAAACATTTCCAAATTGAGGCAGCAGGGAAGAGTAAAGAGGTACAACAAGTGTCTTTTAGAAAAAAAAATGAAAGAGCATTTCTCATCTAAAGCTCACAAACATTTGCACAGAGAAGTTAAAGCAATGTGAGCAGGATGTAATAAATAAAGAACTGGACAAGATGACTGAAAAATATTTATCTACTACGTGTAGAGTATTTAATAAAGTTTACAGTCTGGCACAAATATGTAAACCATTTTCAGACATAGAAGATGAGATAGAATTACAAATTAAATGGATTAGATCTGGGAATAGGATTGCATTCATGTAAAATTGCAGTGAAAGTAGTTGATTTCATTGCAAAAGACATTAGAAAACATTTATTTACTAAAATTATTGAAAAAAGTAGCAAAATATATTTGATTATTGATGAAACCTCAACGATATCTTCCAAACCAGTTCTTATACTTTACTTAAAAGTTGAGGATTCAGTTTTCTCACCAACAATTTTTCTTGAGCAAGATGAATTGGAAAAATAAGATGCAGAGGCAATATGTTTTTCAGTTATGGAAAGTTTAAATAATGTTGGGTTTACTCAGAACTATCTAGAGAAAAAATTTAATAGGATTTTGCTCCCAGGGTGCCAGTGTTATGCTTGGGAGAAAATTTGGAAGAAAGCACTAGGGTAGCAAAAGACTTTCCAAACATCATAATATGGCACTGCTTAAACCATCGTCTCCAACTTGTTTTAGATGATTCTACTAGGGAAATAAAGCAAGTAAATCATTTTAAAATATTTATTGATATGTTATTTTTCATCAATCAAATAAGAATCCAATTGAATTTAACAAATAACTGAACAACTTGAGATTGAAATTATAAAGATTGATAAGAGCTTTTGGACCAAGATGGGCTGCCTGTACTTTAAGGTCAACCCTAGCTGTGTGGCATGCTTATCCAGTGCCACATCAGTTTCTTCATTCAAATAAAAAAATACTCAGGTATGGCTGCCTGTCTTGAAAATATGTATATTTTATGACTGATTTGGCATTGATGATTGATATTCTAAATGAAATTTCTCTTCTTTCCAATGCACTGCAAGCAAGAAATATTGATATCATAAAGGCTGAAAAACTTGTGATAAGATCAATTAAATCATTTGAAATGCTTAGAAAGGAAAAGGGTGCATACGAAAAAAAGGTTGATGGATTAATTACTTCAGAAACCTTCAAAAATATAAATTTTGTACAACATCATCAATTTGTTGGACTTCCTTGGGAAAGACTTTTAGAAAGTGTTGTAACTAATTTGAAGAAAAGACTAATAGATTGTGAACATTTAAAAACAAGCAACCAATTTGAAGACACTGATAAATTAAAATTTCTCAATTTTTTGGAGCCAGATTACTGGAATATTGAAGAAGTGGTGGTTCCATGGAAAGCAGCTGAAGAATAATTGGTTGCATTTGGTGAAATTTTTAATTACAAAATTAATATTAATTATTATTGATATTTTTATAGAAAAGGTTTTAAAAGATTCCAAGAAATATGCAATTCTGACAGTATTAAAAAAGCTAAAGAAATACTGTTAGGATAATTGCTGTAAGTTCAGCAGAAGTGGAAAGAGGTTTTTCACAAATGAACATAACATGTTAAGAGAGCAGAAGTCGCCTAACGGTTTCCAATGTAACTAAACTACTGACTATTAATCTAATTGCCCTACCTCTGCAAGAATGGGACCCTGTCCCTATAGTAAAAAATGGTTGCGACACATCACACAGCTGATGATGCTTGTGAAAAACTAAAGAAAACTGCAAGTGAGGACATCAATAAAAAAGCTATTTGGCAATACTTTAAATAACAATATTATTGTTTTTTGTAAAGTATTATGTAATAGTTTTTGATTAATATTTTAAAACTTTGTTGTAACAAAATCTAGTTTTGTGTACTTTTTATTATTTAAGCATTAAAAGCATGAAATAATAAACTACCTTTTTTTGGTATCTTTTTTATACTTAAAACAGTCGTTAGGGCAAAGAAGTGATGCTGAATTGGCCACGCCCAGCTAGTCACATAACCACAAAGCCATGCCCACCAACTAAGCCAAGCCCACAGAACTGGTTGTTAAAAAATCTGAATCCCACCCCTGGACATAACTTTTCATTAAATGAACTATTGTATGTCAAGGACTACCTGTAACAAGAGACCATGGGTACAGTGAAATGGATGGTTAGAAATTTATGCAAAGAACCTTAAAATATTAGACATGAGTATTTGTTTATCTCTTCAATTTGTTTCTTGTTTTTTTCCTGGAAGATACTCAAGAAAGGTAATTTTAAAAACAATGAAATATAAAAATGTTAAATCTGCTGAAACAGAGAAACTGTTAAATGATTTAATCTTAAAAATCCTGGCTAAATACTTTTTTTTGTCTATTCTAAAAGAAATAAAAATAGAGGCTTACTGCAACTACTGTGGGGCTGTTAAAACACACAAACACACATACATGCATACATTTCATTTGTAGATTTAAACTATTATTAAATTTATTAGATTTTTAAATTTAAATTATTTTTAAAATTACCTCTTTGGCTCTCTGTACAGCATCACTTGGTGGATTTCTGATTTGTGGTGAAGATTTTGTATTAATTTTGTCATAGAGCTGTTGACAAAAAAACATAATATGAATATATTAAAAACAATTTTACCAGCTTGTTTTATAAAAGACCTCTGAAAATTTCACTTAAAAACATCTGCTGTGCTGTAAATCTAATTTTCTATAGATAACTGTAGAAAATGTAACCATTTCATTTTTTCACGGCATTTATTAACTTCTTGACTGCTCATGATGCTTCATATAAAGCAGGGATCGCCAACCTTTTGGACCTCAGGGACCACCAAACTCATCATTTCAAATGCTGGGGACCACTAATATGAATTTTGACTGATGGTGGCTTACTGACATTGGTGGGACAGAGAGAGAGAGATCTGATCTAACCCCACCCCCTCTCTCTCTCACACACACACACACGCGCACACACAGGCAGGGGTGGGATTCAAATTTCTTAACAACTGGTTCTGTGGATCTGGCTTAATTTGTGGGTGTGGCTTGGTGGTCATGTGACTGGCTGGACATAGCTTGTATATAAATATTACAAATATTTATGTAAATATTATTTTTTTTATAAAAAAGAGCAACTTTTACCCAAAATCAGGCAAAGCAGGCAGGCAGATTGAGTTGCTCACAGAATCACAGATTCAGAGATCTATCTTTCTGCCATTGGCTACCTGAGTTTGTCACATAAAATTTGCTTGCAAGCAAACTCATAAAATTTGCTAGCAAGCAAACTCACAAAATCAACTCATAACACACCATGTATGTAAATACTGAATTTTTTATTTAAAAAAGAGTAACTTTTACCCAAAATTAGGCAAAGCAGGCAGGGAGATTGAGTTGCTCACAGAATCACAGATTCAGTTAGAGATCTGTGTTTCTGTCATTGGCTACCTGAGTCTGCACTGAATAATAAAATCTTCAGTCCTAAGAAAGGTTCGGCTTTGCTTAAAAGCAGAGCTGAGGATCTAAAGATTAACTAGAAAGCAAGAAATCCAACGATTTCCTGCTTTCTAGCTAATCTAAATCTCCCGGCACAGCAGAACAGCTAATGGTCGGGAAAAAAAAAAAGGAAAAATAGCAACTTAGCAGGCAAGTTTGCCAGGTAAGGAGTGAGTGGGCGGGGAGGGTTCCCATGGGCCATGTGGGCGGCGCAGCCTTGTATTCCTGCACAGTCTGGATTAATAACTTTCGGGGGTGCTCTGGGGGGATGACATTTCTCTGCGGACCACCAAAATTTCTCGTGGACCACCAGTGGGCTGCGGCCCACCGGTTGGCGACCACTCTTATAAAGACACATTAGAAATAAGCAATGTTACTTAATCATATTTTCTTGCTAGTAGCAATTTGTAATGATTTAAGAGATTTATTGTAAAGTAAATGCATTTCTTAGTATTTCTATAGACTTCACTCTTGGAAGATTCCCTTCAGCAAGGAAACCCAACTAAAATGAGGAAATCAAAGGAAGGTATTTGAGCTGTCATGTCAAATGTTACATTGACTGGCCTGCCCCTATCTGCATTTTTGCTCGAGAGGAAAATTTGCATCCTTTTTAAAAAAATTTTGAAACTGCCGAATTTGCAAATGGCAGTTTTTCATTCTATGGCCAGGGATTCATTCTATATACTAATTTTCTTCAGACATAACTTAAAGAAATAAATTCACCATGTCAGCAATAAGGAGCCTAACCCTCACTGTAAAAGTTGTACTAGGGTGGCACTTAAATAGCATATTAATGGACAGTGTGCCTGTCAACACTGTGGAGGGTGCTGTGACTAGTTGCCACATATCAGGTTCTGAATCATATAGAAACCAATGTATATGCAGTCACTATGAAGGCCTCTGTACTGCAAAGTATTTATGATTTTTGTTTTATTTACTCTGGTTTATATACAACCCAGAGCTACTGAATGATTTATAAATATCATATAATGGTATTTAGTTTACCATATAAACTAAAACTAAAACAGTAAAAAAGAACAAGGTATATCTACTACCCAACTATTACCTTCATAATATCATAACTAATGAGACCATACCTCATTTGTGATTCCCAAATGAAGTACAGAAAAAATTCAAAATGTAAAACTTAACAACAAGGGCCCAATCTATATGTCCAGAAGAAGAAGGTATTGCCAAAAGGGCATGACCATGGGGTCCCTAAGGATTTTCTTGGCTGTGGAACTATCAACAAGTTTGTTGTCACTGAGTATGTAATTTTCATTGGGAGCAGATGGTCCCATAGACATGAAGGCCCTAATCCATTTAGGACTTTAAAGATGACTACTGGAATCTTGAATCGTAAAATATTCAATGTAGCTTCTATAATAGTGATGTTACACAGGTGAACAGAGGCATGTTTATAACTAGATCGTGAACAGGGGTATCAAACTTGATTTCATTGAGGGCTGCATCAGGGTTGTGTTTGACCTCGGAGGGCTGGGGGTGAGCATGGTCAGGGGTGGGTAGGGTCATAGTGGCCACAGCCAGGGTGGGCGTGACATGGGACTTGTGTTGGGGGGCGCCCTGAGATATTCTCACCTCTTGGGGAATGTTTAGGGGGGAGGGCCATGTGGATTGTTTCACTTTGAAAGTCAGCAGATGGCTATGGGAACGTATGATTATCTGTTTCTCGGAACAGCTGGTACAATAACATCTTCATCCCTGTGGATTGGCTGAATCCACATCTGGTTAAAGGGAAGGGTCTCTACTGCTTTAATTCTATTTGTCTTGTCTAAGGGTTCTCAGACGCTGCTTTGAATGTATTGCTATCACTTCTCTGGTCAATAAAAGGTTCCTTTTGAAATACTTCATTTTAAAGAGTTTTTACATTCTTGAGTTAGAAGGAGAGGCAATCCTTACAGAAAGCAACGTCTGCAAAAAGGTCAACCTGGAGAAGCAACTTTCGCTCTACCCAGGGGACCCTGCAAACCATGTCCGAGCAAAGCAGTGAGCTGGGAGCGGCCGAATGCTGGGGAGAGACATCAACCACCACCCAGCCGGATGCCTGCTCACTGTACCCTGTTGGAGAGGACATGGTTACCCTGGAAGACCCCCAAAAGCCTTTCTGGTTGATTGGCATTGGGAAGAAAGACAGCTGAGATGGGAGAATCAGAGGGGTTACCCTCACCCACAGGAGCTGAAAACTGGGATGGAAATTGGAGCTAGAAGCCCTCTCTGACAAAGAGGAACTAACTGAAGTACCGATGAGGGAGGATTGTCTGAAGAGACATATAACCTGGTTGGTGATGGGGATTTTGGAAAACCTCAACATCTGAGGAGAGCCTGAGCAGCAGCAGCAAAGGGGTGCTGAAATGGCAGCCGCTGTGGATGATGCTGGGGGGGGCACCCCCTCTCTGGGAGCAGCTGATCAAGCTGATGGCGCAGCAGCAGCAGCCGGGGGTCCAGCAAACCCCCCTCGGGTGGTGTGAGTACTGGGGCTCATTCCTGGCCAACCCTGAGCTCCGCAAGTGGAAAGGAACCCTCTCCTTGGGGTGAAATTTGATGGGCATCCGCAATAACTGGGATTCTTCGTGGCACACGTGCTCACATACATGCAGGAGTATGGGCATGATTTCCAGACTCAAGGATCCCGGGTGCGAGTTGTTACCCTAGCCCTGGAGGGAGCTGCTGCCAGATGGATGGTGACCCTATGTAACGCCAATGTGCCAGAATTGCAGAGATTCGATTGTTTCATGATGGCCCTGTGACGTAGATTCCAGGACCTCCTCGCAGATCGCAAAGCACACAACCACATTAAACTTGTGAAGTAGGGATGGCGGCCAGTGGCAGAGTATACTGAAGAGTTCTGAGACCTTGTGGTGCCATGTAAACTGGCCAGAAGATATCCTGGTAAGCTGTTTCAAGGATGGGCTGGGTGATAACCTCTACAATGTCTGTGTGGCCTGAGGTGCACCGAACCACCTACATGAGTGGTATCTCACCACCGAAGAAGCTGAGATCAATATGGCCAGAAACCAGTACCGGGCGGAACGAGCATGGAAGAAATCCCACCACATGGAAAGCGGGAGACCTTCAAACCACAAACCATTTTTACTTCAAAACCCTCAGCCTGTTTCAAGTGTGGAAAGGATGGGCACCGAGCTGCAGAATGTCATTCTAAAACACCCATCTGGAAACCAGAACGGCCATGGGGGGGGGAAAGACCTGCGAAACCTGGCCAGCGCGGGAGACCACCCTGAGAAGCAGGGAGACCATAGAGTTTCAATCCCCTCCCCTCCTTGGGGATGAAACTCCAGCATCTCAGTAGGAGAAACCAAACTCATTCGGAAGCAATCCAGAGGATGCGCCACTGGTAAGCAAACCAATTGAAGTGCTTACCCTCCCCCTCAGACTATTTATCCCCAGCCAGGACAGAGAGATAAAGATCTGTTAAAAATCAGGCTAAACTGCAAGCCCCTTGTTGATTGGCTGCCATGCCCCAATCCCTGAAGCTGCTTATTCGAAGTAGCCATTCAGCAGCAAGCAGAAGGCTGCTTGATGCCGGCCAGACTGGACCCAAACTAAGCCTGCAGGCCCTCATGGCAGAGAAGCTGGTCTTTTATTCAAATGGGGAAAGCTGTTTTCCTTACATCTCATGTTCTTACAACCTCATGGCCTTCTGAAAAAAAGACTTCGGCTTCTCTGTCATGTGTGTCAGCCTCTTCTGGATCTCTTCAAAAAGTAAGTACAGAAAAGCTATGGGAAATGGGGTGGGGAGGAGTAAATGAATCTGGGATGCTAGAAAAGCAGGCATAGTCTGTGAGAGGAGTGAACAAAGTATCAGAGGGCCGCATCTGGCCTATGGAGGCTCCATTTTGGCCTATAGCAGGCTGTGGGAGGTCCATGGCGGACCGAATGGAGCCTTGGAGAGCCGGATGTGGCCTATGGAGGCTCCATTTTGGCCTGTAACAGGCTGGGGGAAGCCTGGCAGAGTGCTGCAGGAGGCCATCCAGGCTGAAAAAGGACCAGGGGGCACATGTGGCCCCCTCGCATCTCGTTTTCACTAGCAGAGGGACAGTGGACCGTTTCTTTGCTATTTTCTATTTCTGCTGTATCAGTTTCAGGGAATTACTGAAGAGATTATACTGAAGATACTCATCTGCAGTATCAAAAATAATGCTAAAAACTGCCCTAAGTTCTATTAGTTTGGTTTGATAGTCTTATTTGCTTTATTTTTTGATTATAGCTAAAATTAAACAATATTTTTTAAAGAGAAAAAATACTTACATCTAGTAATGTATGAAGATGCTGATCTTGAAAAACACTATGCAGAAAGTCTAAGTCCTTTTCACTGCAATCTGTAAGTGCATGAATTTCTTCTAGGCTGTCTAATACCTGTGAAACTGCTCCTGTTATTAAACACAGGGAGAAAGAAAAATATTTACGACAAATCATTATAAGTTGGTCATATTTCACTGTATTCATTGAGTAAAATATGAACATTAATAAAGCAATCTTCTTTTCAATGAATAAAGTATTTGAAAAGGAATGTGTGAAATGAATTTAAATTTAGCATTTAGAGGAAAAAAAGGACAAAGTTTAGTGCCTGCCATCTGTAGAATGGATGACCTTGAATATGTAGCTAATCTTAATCCCATAATAATAAAGCAGAGTTGGTACTTATGCAGTGTTTCCTGATTTCGAAGGTCTGACATAATATTTTGAGCCTGACTGTATCTTTTTGAATAAAAATGCTATAAAAATATTACAGAAACTTAACAGTATCATGAACATATTTAATCATGTTGTAAAGCAAAACAAAAGAATCCCCTTGAAAAATTTTCAGGAGACAATTCTTAATTTATAAATCCCAGTTATAGAACCAGGAGCTAGAAATTGACTTAGAAAACTAATGTGACTCTGCAAGCAATTTCATGCTGCATGACTGTATAATAAACGTATTGATGCTGATTAAATCAATTTGGAAGTTCCAGATAGTAAAAACTGTGAAAAGAGCATAATTGGAGAAATCTCTCACACATCTGAGAGAAATTAATCTCAAAAACTTCAGAGAAAAGTTGGACTATAAAAATGTTGAAAGAAAATAAAAATTCAGAAGTATAGATGAATCAGAAAACAGAGGGCATTACTGAAAATATATTTAAAGGAAATACAGATAGTCCTCAACTTATTATCACAATAGAGCCCAAACTTTCTGTTGTTAAGTGAGATATTTGTTAAGTGAGTTTTGCTCCATTTTACAACCTTTCTTATCACAGTTGTTAAGTGAATCACTTCAATTGATAAGTTAGTAGCCTAGTTGTTAAGGGAATCTAGTTTCCCCATTGACTTTGCTTGTCAGATGGTTGCCAAATGGGATCACGTTACCTTGGGACACAGCAATAGTTATAAATATGAACAAGTATCTGAATTTTGATCACATAATTATATTGAAGCTGAAAAGATCATAATTGTGAAAAGTGGTCAAAAGTCACTTTTTCAGTGCTGCTGTAACTTTGAATGATCACTAAATGAACTGTTGTTAAGTCGAGGACTACCTGTAAAGGGACTCTACACAAAACAGTATGGCTATATCAGCAGGTTTCTAATGTGATATGACTTAATCCTAAAGTTCAAAACAAAATATCTTTGCTATATTAGGAGCCAGAACATTATCAAAGTTGACTTATACACAATGTATATAATCATTTGGGGCTAGAGTAACATACAGATTTTAAAAATAAACCTGCTTTTGTAGTTATTATGATTATCAACAGTTTCAATGTGATTGAGCTTCTCTTCTGAAATAGGTTTGAAAAATGGGGATTTAACAAGTAGTTGCTAAAAAGGGAAGATAATTTTGCAATAACTAATTATTGTGAAGAAAAAACAGATTGTTATATATTCATTACTGCTTAAATGACATCAATTTTGATTATGATTAAACCTTTGAAGTACTATAGTCTTGGTTAACAGAAAAAGACGAATTCAAGTGATGTCTGAGACCTGTAATATAATAATAGGTTTTTCAATCCTGTAGGGAGAAGCATTTATGACTTTCTCTGCTTGTTTTGCCTATCCCACAAAGGGTTTCAATTAGAATTAGTAGAAATAATGGTAAAAAGTGAGACCTGAAGCACAGGATAAAAACAACTTACTGTTTTAAATAAGTTGAAATATCTAAGTGAATTTTCATCCCACCCCAAGTTATGGATTATAATTTTGAGAAATTTGGGAGGATTGCTAAAATAATGGAAATGATGTCTTTATTCATAAAGAACAAAGAAAAGAAAATCCACACAAATTGGATGTGATATTATATTAAGCCAAACAGATTAAATATCAATATATGAGCTATTATAAAATAAGACAATAGCTAGCGATAAAAAGAAATTGATAAAAAGTAAATATCAGGTCACTTATTTCATCTTTTTTGGGGGGAGGGGGGTAAGCATCACTGCATTATAGGAATACTATTGACAAAGTATACCTTGATCTTCTATCTTTTTAACAAGATTTCCTAACATTTTTCTTTATATGTATCAAATTAATTGGGCAGTTGTATTCAATTATAGTAGTGCTTATTAATAGCTCAGAACAGAGGTTTCAAGCAGAATATATTATAAATTGCATGTCAACAGTGAAGAAACAGAACTGTTCTGAGATCTCAAATAAAAGACATATTGCCCATTTTAAAAAAGATGATGAATAATATTACTGATATAAAAATTGGTTGAGAAATATATGTTGAAAATAGATCTTGCTAACATTCATGCTACTTGTATAAAATTTATTCATTCAAAACTATTACTAGCTTTTTATAGACATGGACATTTAACATCAGTAATAAGCCTTTTATGGTCTGCATATTTGAATATATGTTTGAATGTGTCTCAGTTATAATCCTCTTGTTCTATCAAAGATCAAAGTCAAATCAAGAATATATTTGATAGATATTGTACAATCTCTAGCATTACTGGTTAGTAATAAAAGTTGAAGAATACTAATATTTTTAATGAAGTTTTTCAATTACATTTTGGTAAGAAAGCTACTAACGAACTAATACATGCATTAAATCATGAAATTATAAACACCAGAAAGTAATGCTCAGTTGTCAATATTTGCATATAAATATATATCTATAGTTTTTTGGGTTCTGTAAGTCTGTTCTTCTTTTATCTATTTATTTATATACTGTTATTATTTTTACAAATAACCCAAGGCAACAAACCTATCCAATACATCTTCTTCAACCTATTTTCCTCACAACAATCCTGTGAGGTAGGCTGCTTGAGAGAATGTGATTGACCCAAAGTCATTCAGCTGGCCTTTCATGGTTAAGGTGGGACTTGAACTTATGCTCTCCTGTTTTCTAGCCTGGGGACTTAAACATTTTTGTCATCTTTGACTTCTTTATTTTGCCCGGTCACTGGGGTTAAATGATATATAAATTTAATAAAAATTCATAAAAACTGGGAGTTTCTATGAAAGTTACTCTGTAGTCAATGATATGTATGTAGTAATTAAACACATGTAAAATATTAATAATTAGAATTCAATGACAATTCCAATTTCTTTTAACTAGATCCACTGAATAATTTCACTGTATGCAAAAAATATCAAAGTTGCATTTGACATTTATATTCCCCAAATTTCAAGATATGGATTATCAGAATATAAACTGGATATGTATTTGGCTAGAAAAACAAGACTATTTTCCATAAAGATTTATGCTTTTCTTTCTTGTGCCCTTAGAGATAGATACTCTAATAGTATCTATCATGAACAGATGCTGCAACCTCGTTTGAAAAATAATTCTTCTGGCACTTGTACAAGTAGTCCATGACTTAAAACAATTCATTTAGTGACCATTCAAAGTTACAATGCATTGAAAAAAGTGACTTATGACCGTTTTTCACACTTATGATAGTTGCAACATCTCCATGGTCATATGATAAAAATTCAGATGCTTGGCAATTGGTTCATATTTATGACAGTTGCAGTCTCCCAGGATCATGTGATCAGCTTTTGTAACCTTCTGGCAAGCAAGATCAATGGGGAAGTGAGATCCACTTAACAACCATGTTGCTAACTTAACAACTGTAGTGACTCACTTAACAACTGTGACAAGAAAGGTGGTAAATGGGGCAAAACTTACTTAACAACATAAATTTGGGGGTCAATTTTGATCGTAAGTTAAGGACTACCTGTATTCATCTTCTACCATGAGCATATTGAAATAAAAATATACTGTATCTTTGTTCTTTAATTGCTCAGATGGTATTAAAATATGTTAAGCAAGGAAAAAGCTGATTTAATCATGCAAAGCCAAACATAATAGCTAAATGCATAGCTTTAGAGGAAAACAGAGGGATACCTACTTTCCGCAGCTAGAAGTCCTAGCAGGAAGGCAGCATTTGGACAAACAACAAATAGTAAGAGGATTTCAAAACAATTGTAGAAGCTGCAACTAGGAGTATTAGCACAGCCACAACAAAACAAAACAAAATAAAAACCTACCACATTTTATTAAGTTGAAAAAATGCAGTATATGAAAAGGATTTACATTATATTTTTACAGTGCTATACATCCAACTTTTTAGTAATTATTAGTTTTGAAATTTAAGGAAGTACAAAATACTTGCTGATTATTATACTATGCTTAAGTAAGGAAGCTCACTTATTTTGTTATATAAACAGTTAACATACATATATCATAGATGTACATATTTTAATGGATATAGGTTACAACTGTTAATAACTTTATTGAGGTCAATTTATTAAAATCAAAAATTATACATCAACCTGTGAAATTAAAGTTGGCTTAATCATATTTTTAATATTCTCAATTAATAATTAAAATGAATACTTTTATTAAATTTGAAATAAATTTTTGTTTTAAAAACAAGTAATAATAACCCCAGTAAAATTATGATAGGAATTTCAGTACTATGAATATAGTGTATGTATTCAGGTACAATGTTAGAACTACAGTGTGATGCAACCAACCAATTTTATTGTAATTATAGTGTGTGTGTGTGTGTGTATATGCGTGTGTGTGTGTATGAATGAAATTGCTACCTTCAACTTATTTTTCAAATTTTACTGTCAGTTAAAAGTTAACTAAATTCTTTCTGCAAAATAAAATAAATACAAATACAAAATGTTCTTCTTTCATTTCAGAAGCAAAGTACTATAAGTACATATACACATATATGCAAAACAAACAATCCATTAATGTTTTCAGTAGCACTTATATAGCTTCTAATTTCTTCAGAAAATGTTAAAATTTAAACAACCATTAACAATTAAATTTACAAGAAAATATGACCTATACCTGTGATGGTGAACCTATGGCATACATGCCAGAGGTGGCACACAGAGCCCTCTCTCGGGGCACAAGAGCCAT